TTATGAAATGGTGGTTTGTTTGTTTGTTTTTCTTTTTTTGTGGAGGAGAGAGTTAAAATACATCAGTGCTTGTGAAGGAAAGCATCAGTAAATAACCATGGAGTAAATAACTATAGGGAGAGATCTACAAGGCTTCACCCAGAATTTTATTGGCCTTTATATATTTCTGTTCCAGAAGAAGCTGGATCTGGATGGGAACTGTACTGGGACACATATCTGGAGGGGTAACCACTGGTGTGAGCCCAGTATATGCACCAGTCAGAACAGAAGGAGAATCCAACTGTGTAGCTGAGGACATTACCCAAAGAGACTTTGGAAAAGAAAGGTCATCAAACTGTGACACTAAAAGGCGCTGTAATAAGTGTTTAAGAGCAGGTGTAGAGCAGAAGGAGTGTGAGTTAGTGCAACTGAATATCTGCTTACATAATTATATTCCTCCTTCCTGTTCAGATTCAGTAGCACAAAGTATTCACCATATCCTGGCCTAAAATACTGTAAAGAGCTTCTGTGCTTTGCTAAGCATTTGTGACAGGTTGTCTTAGAGGCTGAGCATATTTCAGTGGTGGATGAAGAGGTCCCTGTATACATTGGCCATGAATCAGCTGAAGTTTGTAAAACACTTTGGAATCCATTGGACCATAAGTCCACGTAATGTAAGGCCATTATCATGTTTGCTATGAAAGTTAGATTTGTCGCAAAAAATAACAGTCTCCCTTAAACTTTGAAAGACCATAGCTAGACTCTCCATTAAAGTAGGGCAAGAACAAAGTAAAATTGGACTAACCAGTAATTTTTGTGTTGCCTTGGCACTGCCTCTTCTCCCTGTAGGCAGTGTTGATCCTATTCCTTTTCACCTTCTTCCTCTGGGTTCTCCAAAGTCCATGGCTATAATCATGGGGTGGACTTGGCAGCAGCGTGTAGGACCTGGAATGTGTTTTTCCAGCAGCCGTGTCTGGCTTTGTGGCTGAGTTCTTTGGCTGACGCCGCAGCTGGCTCTGCTGGCAGACACATCTTCTTTGGGGGCTGTTTGGGTTCACAGGGCTGTCAGCTTACTTTCTCTTCTGCCCTGGATGCTTTTTTCCTTGAGTCACACTTACTTTATTTTTCTTTTCTTTTTTTTTGTTTTTTTGGAGGACTATGTTTATGGACAAACTTTCTATTATGAAAACACCTGATACAGCAGCAAAAATCTTTCCATATTTCAGTGTTCTTGTAACTGTTTCCCTGGGAACAAAGTGTAAATGTGCACATTTGCTCAGAAAAGTAGCTGCTGCTGTACATGGTCATTTCCAAATAAAGTTGCTCAGTTTGGGACCTTCTGTCACTGGTGAAGTGGTGAATCTTAATTTCCATGACAAATAGTGCCCTACTGTGCCCTTTGCTGAAATAAGACCTGGATCTGCAAAGGTATTTAGGTGACTAACCATTATGTAGGTGCTTCATTTCCACTGACCTCTATTAAGTGCACTAAATGCTTTTAAGAATGTGGGCATTAAACCTTGCAGAGAGTTGGAGCCAGCAGGTCAAGGCTGTGATGCCAGCTTGGCAGGATGGATTCTCTTTCTTGGTAATGGATTTCCACCTGTTTGCTCCTTTGCTGACTAATTGCTCTACCAAAGTTTTTGGTAGATTTCTGTGAGTAGTTTCACCAGGAGATGAGATAGTAAATAGTAAACTGAAAGCCCCTTATTGTATCCTGATGAGACTTCTCCACATATTATTTTTTAGCTTTTTCTGCTATTTTGAAATATATTTTCCATGGTCAATTTTCATTTTCTCTCTCACATATTTCTTCCCCCTTTTCTTCTCACTTTTTCTGCTTTTACTTTCTAGATTCATTCCTTCTAGGATGGCCTGGAAAGTAAGAAAAAAAAAAAAAAAAGATAAAATATAAGAGCACTGTGAATCACACAAAATATTACAATTTGAAAAAGCAGTCTCTGCTTTTTAGAAATGCTTTGAATGGAGAATGTTGGTAGCTGTAATCTCAGTAAGCGGACTGAGGCAACAATTCTCCACCTATGCTCAAATTGTTTTTTTGGAAAAAAGGTGTTTCCCTTTCTTTATTAGAGACTCTTACAAGCATTTTGCATTTTGGTGTCTGTACCCCTTAGCTGAAGCTGTGAACGTGCACTCTAGGCTGTACCAGCATGTCAGCAAAGTTCCTTTGTCTTGTTCCCTCTCTTGGCTGTGGACCCTGGTTCCTAGCTGTAGAGACACTTGTTTACTACCGGAATTTAATTTTCTCAAAGGAGACAGCTCTTGATATAATCTCTTTTCCTGCATTGTTGAGTAGTGGATTGACTAGCATGGAAGTCAATCCCTCTAAGGACTTCTGTAAGACCTTTGATCTTCCCTCTCTCTGGGGAGACCTTATAGTCCCTTCCAGTACCTAAAGGGGGCTTACAAGAGAGCTGGAGAGGGACTTTTTACAAGGCCCTGTGGTGATATCACTGAAGTTTGTAAAACACTTTGGAATTGCTCTAAATCGAATAAGGGTCAATTTAGACTAGATATACGGAAGATATTTTTTACAGTGAGAGTAGTGATGCAGTGAAACAGGTTGTCCAGAGAGGTGGCACTTGTCCTAACCCTGAAAATATTCAAGGCCAGGCTGGTGGGGCTCTGAGAACCCTGATTCTAGTAAAAGATGTCCCGGCTTATTGCAGGGGAGTTGGAGTAGTAGACTTTCAAATGTCCCTTCCAACCCAAAGTGTTTCTTCCAACCCATTCTGTTTCTGATGTCCTTTATTTGGCTGTGCTTGAGTCTAATTCTTTCCAAAGCTTTTATTTTATTTTATTTTTTTGAGGCAAATTTTCCCTGGAGCTCTCCTAGAGTACATTTTTATCTTTTGCACCTTCTAATCCATCTTTAAAACACTGAAGCAGGACTAAGACAGAATTAGTAAATAACAATATGGCTTTGTGTAAGAGGAATGGGAATATCAAGTTCCTCATTTGCAAATAAATGGGAATTCCAGCTTTTTGACAAAGAACAAACTTTTCTTCTTACAACAGCAGGGCTGAGTAGCAAAGAAGAAGTACAAAAGAACATTTCTGAAGCTGCAGAGGAAAAGAAGACTCCCTGAATTCTGGATTACAAATGCAGAAGATACTGGTTTTCTTTTAGTGGGTCCAACTTTGTGTCCTAAACAATTGTTTAGGAAAAATTTTGTTTGTTGGTTTATTTTAAATGTGCGGTGTTATTGGTTTTATTATTTTGAAAAATATCTGACAGAAAATGCCTGCAGGAAGTGTTCATGAGTATAGTTTGTATAGGGGCATTATTTTGTTTGCTCTAACATTTTAGAAAAGTAGGGTTAATTCAATTAATTGAGTGACCACTTTTGTTTTGCATTTTGATTTATAAATACCACAAAGGAAGATATTATCAAACAATAATAGCTGTCAAGCTGTCTTGCCAGCCAGCCCCAAATAGATATCTAAATTTTTTTTCAGTGATTTTTTTTCAGTGACCAGTTTACTCTCTAAGTTACAAGGAGAAATGAGACTCCTGGTGCTTTTCTTCAGATACTTATCTGTAATTAACAAAGTTCATTGTTAAGAATTTCCTCTAGTATATTTATTTTCTGTATTTTTAGTTACACCTTCTTGTCCTAGCCTAGTTAATTATTCCCTTGCTTGCTGTTTACACTCTTCAGATACTTGAAGTGTTTAACATATGGCTTTCGGACATTGTGCAGACAATCAAACATCATTCCTTTAACGTCTCTTCATAAATCAAATCCTCAAGCTGTTCAATTATTTTTAAGTTTTTTTTTTTTTACAGGCCCATCTTTCCACTGTCTTTTTCTGGTATTAAAATATCCAGAACTGTGCAGTGATTCCTGCATATAATGCCCCCAGATGGAGGCTGAATCATTCAGTGAACTAGAATTTGCTGGCTGGTACAGTATCTGTGACCACATACACAGTTAGCTATGAACTTCAATTTGGGTTGCCCTCTGACATCTGATAATTTGGTGCTTTGTAACATGTTTTTAATTCTGGTTAAATGAGAACAACATTTTGGCCAGTTTGAAAGCCTGAATTAATAAATGTATAATATTTAGAAATTTTAGAAGAGACACTGTAAACTAATGATCACAGATTTGCATAATAACCAGCTACAAATAAGGACTAAATGTGATCTGCAGTGTCAGAGAAGGAGATCTAAATGGAACAAATGTTTTGGCATGGCATGTAGGAAAGTGATGTAATATTCACATACACTGAAGAATAATTGATAATATTAATGAATCAGGAAAATAAGTCTGGAAGGATCTGAGACCTCACTTCATCTATTATCGTGTCTAGAGGTAGGATGCAGTATAGCTCTGTTGCTCCTGAGGAGTTTATCTTTCCTATTATTATGCATGTCTACTAAAGAGGCTGTAATTCCTACAGGAAATCTACTCCAGTATTTACAAGGTAATCCCACTAGAAGGCTTTTTCTATTTCCCAATCTTCATAATCCTGATGTTTGATTAAAAGATGCCTTTTTCTATTTGAAATGACAGAGTTGATAAAATATGAGCTGAGATCTGGGTTCACCTGTTCCTTGGAACAAAAAAAAAAAAAAAAACCAACAAAAAAAAAAAACCCAAAAAACAACAACAACAAAAAGACATGAAAGAAATATCATTACTATATGGCCTATCATTATTAATCTACTTCTCTAGTCATAAAATATTTGAGCAGCCATAACAGTGCTCTTGAGAATGACTGTATGGGAGGGAGATGCTGACAAGGAGAAGTGCTATTAATTCCACAAGAAAGGCTTTACCCATGCCAGAGACCCAGCTACTGCTAAAGCTGATTGCAGTAATGCTGTGCTGATTTGCTGCATCCAAAGATCTGCTGATTTATGTAGACTGAGCTTGTTTGAAAAATACAAAACTGTGATATAATTTTTGCACCAGTTCCTTACATGTGCAGCCTCTGAACTAACTGAACTTCACTTGCAAAATACTGTCAGTTAAAAACTGTTCTAACAGATAAAACCAGCAGGTCAAGATGCAAAACTACCCTGGAAGTACTGTAAAGAAGCTCTTTCTATTAAGTCATATTTAGAATACTAAATTATTTGGGGGGGATGAGGGGTAAGTACATTGCAAGTGATTTGTAGCTTTATCAATAATTCAATTCCACATTCTACCTAGTGTCAGGAAATGCAGGGAGACATCATGGGGAAAACGGTACCCAAGTCTAAAAAGTGTTTAGTGGTCTGGGAAATGGGCCAAATTAGATAGTCAAAGCAAAATATAGCACATCTTTTGAAAGTCTCAGAAGTATTCCAGTTTCCACATAAGTATTACCATTTACAGGAAATGTAGTACAGACATATACATGGGTCATTCTTATCCAAAACCAGACTCATTGGATGAAAAAGTAAACCCAGTTTTAAAGTAGGTGCTCAATTTCTCAGTTTTGAGGTGTGGTTATTTTAAAAATCTGATGTTCAGATAATTACATGCCATACCCTGTTGCATTCTGCTGCTCATAAATTAACTAGAATTAATATCCTCTCTGTGGATGAGCCTGGAATCTTTTTCCCAGATTTTGTTCCTAGAAAACATACAAGAAATGCTTCATGCTTCAGAGAAGAGTGTATCTATTATATTTTTCAAACACATTTCTGGTTTTTTTAAGCCCATGCTACCATTGAATTCTCCTACCTTGAGTGTAACTACGACTTAAAGCCTGGAAACCTTCAACTAGGAACTTTTTCAAGGATAAATGTACTTTACTAAACAATAGCACTCTACAGTGTCTCTATTTTACTGAAGTTTCCTGTTCTAAAAGTGGTATTTCTCTCTTGTAACTGACCCTATACAAATGTGGGTAGTGTACAACCAACCTCATCAGTTTCATCTCCATTTATATTTAATGAAAATAAATGGGCATCCCCAGGGAGCAAATACATCTGTGCCTGTCTTTTCCTAAAATAGAACCACAGAGTGGTGCAGGTTAGAAGCAAACTCTAGAGTTCATCTAATCCAGTTGGCTCAAAACCAGGCCAGTTGCTCAGGGATGGTTGCTCACCCAGCCTGGTTTTTGTAAATCTCCTGGGAGAGCAGTGTTTGTGGTAAAAAGTTTTCCCCTTTTATGTGATCAGAATTTCTGATTCAACTGAGCTCCAAGTGGCTTCTCTTACATCATATTCTGTGCCTGTGCACCTCTGAGGTGAAGCTCCCTCTGTCTTATTCTCTTTCCTGAGATGGTTACAGGCAACAGTAAGGTCCACCCAAGCCTTCTGTTCTGGAAACTGAACATAAGGTCCACCCAAGCCTTCTGTTCTGGAAACTGAACAAACACAGTTCAGGCAGCCTCTTCTTGTACATCCTGGGCAGTCGTGTCCTGCTCATCCTTCTGGCCCTCCACTGGGCTCACCCCAGCATGTTCATGTCTTTGTGGTACTGAGCAACCTAAAACTAGGTCCCGACTCCAGGTGCAGTCTCACAAGGGCAAATAGAGGCAAATGTTTTGACTTGCAGAAACAGTATTAATTCTTGCCAACAGAATTCAGTTGGCCTTCTTTGCTGCAAAGGGACACTGCCAATTTGCTTTCAGCATATTGTCCATCAGGGTGCCCCAGTCCTTTTCTGCCATGCTTTTCCATATGTTTGAGCCCAAGCCCTTATTGCTGCCTGGAGCTATTCTCTTACAGATGCAGGACTTTGCCTTAGTCCTCATAAGGCTCCTATCAGCACAATTCCTTCAGCTTGTCCAGGTCCCTCTGAACTGCAGCTATTCTCCTGCCTATCTTCTGGTATTACCTGCAAAGAGGCTGAGTGTCTTCAGTTATTAGTAAAGACTGAACAGTATCAGCCTTGCTGAAGTTAAGATGTACAATATCTTTTGTTCTTCCATTGTCCATGGAGCTCATAAGCCCATCAAAGAAATTGGTGGGATTGGTTGGGCATGATTTGCCATTTTGCAAATGCCTTCTTGTTTTTTCTGTGATCAGCAATGACTTCCCAGAGGATTTGCTCCATCATGTGCCCAGGAACTGAGGTGAGGCTATTTGCCTTGAATCACCCTGCTTGCTCCTTCTGAATATGGGTGTGATGTTGACCTTTTCTTCTGTCATCAGGAACTTCCCCTGGGTGCAGTGACCTTTCAAAGATGAGATCTCTTTCAAGAATGATGTCAGTTATCTCCCTCAGCACCCTTCGATGCAGCTGATCTGCTCCCATGGGCTGCATGTGCTCAGTTTGCAGAAGTTGTTCCTGACCCTGCCGCCTTCTACTGCAGATTCCAGGTCATTCCCATAGACTCTGCTGGTAGCCTTCAGGGGCTGCAATGCCTGACATATCTGCCCAGTGAAAAATGAGGAGGAAAAAAGAGATGGAGAACCTCTGCCTTTTTCATGCCTGTTGTCACTCAGTCTCTTACTCCATTGAGCAACATGCCCACATTCACATCAATCTTTTCCCAGCTGGACGTATTTCTCTTCAATAAATATAAAGACAGAGCAAGCTGATTAGCTTAGTCTTCATTAATTTTGAAAAGCCTAGAAAACAATGACATCAATCATATTTCAGATCCAAATAACCTTTTGCTTTGAGAATGATTGTTACCATTACCAACCTGCATTGGGCTGTTGGGTATTTGCAGTGGTTGATAGCTGCCTTCAGCAGCCCAGCAGGCTAACGCCACCACATTGCACAAGAAGCAAGGGCTTTGATCAAGTATCAAAACCAGGGGGTCCAGGCTTTTATTCTTTGTTGTGTACTGACTTGAGTAATGGTTTTAATTATTTGAAGAGTGATTCATGGCAGGGGAACACAGCTCCATCATCAGTACAGTCTCAAGCAGTTACTGAGCCTGTGGTGATGTGGATCACCAGAAGTCTTCTAGCTCTTCAGAGGTTCCTGATGGTGTGCAGAGGTCCATGTGCTTGACTTACTTGTCACATACAGGAGTTTTGTAAGTTTAACTTTGGCATGAAGTGGTATTAAGTCAAATAAAGATGTCAAACATTTAATTTCTCTTATGAACTAGCACTAAAGGTAGTACAGAAGGTGCCTCCAACATATTTAGAAGCACTTAAGGGAAGTCATTCTTCTGCTGCTGATCTGCAATGGTGTTCTTTTTGGGGCAGTTTTACTCACGGGAGTAAAGGTAGATGTTATCTTTATTGGTTCTTCCAGTGCCCAGTGCCTCTTAAATGCTGGGTGTGCTTTTGGATGCCTGATTTCAATCATGTCTTAGACATAAATTTAATGGTAAAAATCAAAACATTTGACTTAATCTGAACAGAGCAAAAGACAGTTTCTACCTTCAAAACTCCTGAAGAGAATGTTCTAAATAATATTTGAGGGGGCACAGTGAGGGGTGTCATGACAACAGTGAGTGGGAAAAGTATTATTTCTGAGAACATAAAAATAAACTGTTGAAAAAGAAGAAAGAAGTTATCTCATTAATCCCTCTGCTAGTGCAGTCCTTCCATAATATCCATTATAATAACTGTTCAGGAGACCCTTGCCTGCCAAAACCGCAGTGTTTCCATGGAGCATGCAACACGGTGAGGGTCTGCACTGCTTCCAGTGAGGGTGAGGAACAGATTCCAGGTGACCATAATGCCTTTTCAATCCAGGTCTAAAGCCTACAGTTAGCCCAAGACAAGAGTTAATTGAGACCTTACTGTGCTTAAAGGCCCCGATCCTCCATAGTAGTCAATGCCAGATTAGTGAGGCAAAAATTACTTTATAGATCTTTAGGCTGTTGTAAAGCTATTATAAATGAATCTTGGCTACTTGTGACCCTGAAGAGTACATCTGGCAGCAAGAGAGGAATGTGGTATTGATACTGCATCCTCCAGCTGAAGAAGAGAAGGTGGCATGCAGCCACTATTCCTGCTTTGAATTACCCAGTATTTCCCCTGAGGAAAGACCATCAGGAGAGCAAGACTGCTGTCTCTGGCTCCTTTGCACTGCTGAAGTGGCAAAAAGCAGCTGAGACCTGAGAATTGAAACTGCACAGCTTATTTCGTTTAACACGCTAATACATTTTCTTCCTGTTTCTGAGCCTTATGGAAAATTGCAAAACTTTTGATTTGCTTTAATTGCACAATATGTGAAATTATAACTAAGCACTCTTCTTACATTAATTGTCCACAGCTTTCTGAAGGCACTTAATGACATGGAATAATGACACAGGAGATGTGCATCTCTCATAAAACAGTTAATCTTTAATAAGTTGATTTCTTGCAATCATTCTATAATAATTTTACATTAACTATATTTAAATTTAGTAGCACAAATCACAAAATACTAAATTATTATTTGAATCAATATTTTAAGAGTTTAAACTGTGTAAGTTAATCCTACAGAAATATGTCTTCAATAATCAACTGGTATTTTTGAAAAAATGCAATTAGAATCCTATTAAATCTAAATTAAAAGCTTACATGCAAAACAATTTAAAAATAGATATTGAAACTTAAGAATTCACAGTCTTTAGTGTTTGCTCCTATTACAATGCAGACTTAAGAATTTAATAATTTTTTCCAGGTGGACAAAAACAAAAAGGGTTTCAATTTGTAGCAAGTTTCAGATTTTAAAGTAAACAGGCTATTTAAATGGAAGGACATGGTTTGCCGTGTTGTACCCATATGGGAACATTTAATATTAAACACATCATAAAAATAAGGGAGATTAACATTTTTAAGCAGCTTTGTGCCATTTGAAGAGAGGTTTTCTTTTTATTTTTATTTCAGGCACTGAGCTTGGTTTTTCCAACTTGAATTCTGAGTCAAGGATAGACATGATGAAGCAAGAGAGGATGCAGTGGGCAGGCGTTCCTTTTCACAAGGTGAATCAAAGTTAAAAAATCTGCAGAGAACACAGGCTACGAGGGCATAAAGCATAACAAATGAGCTCAGTCTTTGGAGTGGTGCTAATCTCAATACAAGGAAGTTAAGCCTAAAGCCATGGTTTGCTCTCCTTGCTTCAGTACAAGGATCAAAGTCCCAGCTCTTTATTATTAGGAAGCAAATTTTTGGTAAATGCTCCCAAACTGGGCTATTGCGAGGTACTTCTCTTACTATGCCACATAATATGTTTATGCATTGAAATCTGTGCTTGGCATTTCTTGTGTCATATCCACAGGGCAAAAGCAGAATTAGACATAGAAGCAGAGGGATCCCTGCAGAGACAGCAATGGCAGAGTGTGAATTCTTTCTGGTATTGCATAGAGATGTGTAATATATAATCTGTAGTTGGAGGCTGTACTTTTGAGCTCAGATGTTCAATAACTGATAGCTTCACGTACTGAGAGCTATCAGGATAGCATAATAGCTATATGATAGTAATGGTTTTACTGACTTTCAGTCACTGCTAAATATTTTTCAGGCTTTATAGGATTTTTTTCAATCTTTACTATATAGTTTGAGCACAGAAGTCTATCAAATATCCATTGTTCTCAAAGGATTGCCTTTGGGAGCTCAAGGGATGCTTGCTTGCTTTTTTTTTTTTTTTTTTGTGTGTAGAAGGAAGATAATTAACTTACTGGAAGAAAATCAGGCACATTGGAGCCGGGTATACTTAAAGTGTTGCCAATAGTTTGTGGTGGGTTTTCTGAAACATAAATTTTCTTCTCGGCTGCAGGATAGGGTCAGTGACTCCTGATGAAAATAGTGCAGTGACTAGAACATGGTTTTCTTTCTCTAGAAGGTTGTAGTAACAAGACAGTATCATCATCTCTATGGCTTGTCTATCTCACATGATGTCTGAGGAAAGGGATGGTCTTGGGGCAATAAAAGGGAGGCATTATGAACAAACGCAGTGTGTGTTGTTTGATCTTTCACATCCATCATGTAAGAGCATATCCTCTGCACCTCTCTATGTTATCCCATGTGTAATGGCCTGTAAATTTATGTAAATAATTAGATGTCAATCATCTTGGGGAGTTGTTTTTCAGTTTAGTGGCAGAAGAAATGCTGATTTACCAAAGCATATGAGATGCAGCAAGTAGAAATGCCTAGGAAGAGTGGGGTCTCCATGGTGTGGGAATTCACAGTCCTGCTAGGAAAGGGTTTAGGCTGGCCAAGAATGGATGTCTGGCAGATGTACAGACTGTGCTCTGTGAAAGAGACCTCTCAGTATTTTGAAATATTGCCCTACTCGCATGAGCTTCTATGCAGAACTGCACTGGAAAGACGCTCTGAAGGTCTGAAACAAAGAGCTCCTCCTTTGCTGGGGGAAGACTTGCTTTCCATTCTGGTCCCATTGAAGCGTTCTGTAGAAGCTGTTGATGTGAGTTAAGTATTTATTAGCTTAGAAAAGACTTGTGTAACATAGTTCCTCATGCTTTCATTGCCTTTTTGAGCTGTTTCAGTAGATGGGCTTGATACTCAAATCCTTCTTTTGTCTAAAGGAATACTTTCATTCTGCATTACAGAGACTTGCTTTCTAAGAAAGGATTTGTAAAAAGTGGTTTTTGGTCTTCTTTATGGTTTCAGAAGGCTGTCACCATTACTAATACATGTGTCCCAAGTGAAATATTTGCTTGCCTAGCAGCAGCTGATTAGGTTCAAGGACCTATTTGATCCTCCTTTCTACCTTTCTGTGCCTTTTTGATATGTTCCAGATAAAGACTTACAACCCAAACTGCTGAGCTCCTGCAGAGGTCAGGAAAGAGTCCTGCCATCTAAAGTTTTCATGAGATGACATGAATGTTCAGCTCCTATTCCTCAGTCTGTGGAAACTCAAAGCCCCAAATATTGGATTGAGTAGTCCTTATGGCAGTACTGTCAGGCAACCTTTGAAGAGTCTGCTTAAGGACCTCCAAATCAAATTTACTTTCCCTGTTTTTCAGATGTTCATAATCTCAAGCGACTACAAAAGAGTCTGGACAACCACCTTAGTCAGAGATATCTCCTCTGTTCAGTGCTGGGTAAGCAAAGTCCTGCTGCAGAATCTCCTTGCTCCTCAAAATCTCAACCTGAGTATGCCTTGTGGTGTTTAGTTCTAATAAATCCCTTTGCTCCTCAGCCCACTCTCCTGACTGGTGGCAGATATCTTAAAGTCCATGACAGAGTGTTTAGGAAGTTTCTGGCTTCCTAGCCAGAAATAACTCTTTTCTGAAAGCATCCTCTGGCTTTCTCTTTAAAGGATTAGCCACAAAATATGTGTTTATAAGCAACTGGTGCCCAAATACTACAGCTAGGCAAATGGTGGATGACTCTCATTCTGGAATATTTTATGCCAGGAATCCTAGCAGAAATCTCAAATATTTATTCTAAAGATGTCAAGGTTTCTTAAGTTCAAACTTACATTTTCCTGTGGTATCCATCTGTATGAGCTATGACCCAAAATATTGACCAGAACTGAAAAGACGTGAAAGAGAGGAAGGTATATATAGTTCATTAACATTCTAATACAGAAAGATTTTAATTTTAGTTAAATAGATGAAGCAAATGCATATTACTTAAAAAATATAAAGAGACATAAAAGCATAAAAGGACAGAAAAATTCTGCTTTATAGAAAGAAATATGTGTTTATATTTTTCTCAGGCTCACTCTCAGTTTGGCAAACCAAATGGTTTTTGTATGATGAATATTTTCTGAATTTCTTAAAGTTTTCACATACCTTATGATTACAACCCGGGTAAGTAAAAGGAGTGAGTTTTCTTGGTCTGCAGGACAGATGTTGTAGTTTTAACACTGTGTTTATAAGGCTCCTGTTTGCCCTTTCTCATCATCTTGCTGGTATAGACCACTGGTGAACATGAGCTGCTTTTTCTCTTTTTGTGACCTCCTGATTTGCAGAGTTTTGTTGTTCCTAAACCATAATATGAGAGGCTTGTAAGGGAATTGGATAGTCACTTCATTCTCTCCTCAGAGTCTTACCCAGGTTGGATGGATCAGTATGACAAAGGCTATATCATGTCAGAACTTCTGAATTATTCAGGAATTTTCAAAGACTTTCATTTACTATCTTAATTATTAATCTTGTTCATTTATGTACTCTTAATTATTAATCTTGTTCATTTATGTACTTAAAGAATGATGAAATTAAAAGTTGAGCATGAAAGTGGTGACATTCTTTTAATATTTTTCCCAACTGCAGGTTTGATTCTGCTTCCTGATAGCTCCAAGTATATATTTGTACCTCATCCTCAGAATTTCCTGTGGTTTGAAATTCTTTTGCTGACATGAAAACAGTTGTGATTTGAAAAACAGATCAGTGTTAAAACTGGTAATACATAAAACAGTTGAACTTATTAATATGACTCAGAAACAGGATAGAAGTAAAAGGTGTCATTTCCTATGTGTAAATGGAAAACCTATGAAACTGAGGTCTGGGAATCTCTTGTGATTGCATTGACAGACTGTGAAAATAGCAGGATCCACTTATAGAGACTGACTTGAAGAACCTGAAGACAGATCCAGTGTCGTCCCAGCAGCAAATCTATGTGAAGCTGCAGAGAGATCTGGACAGGCTGGAGAGAGGCCTAAGCCAATTTTATAAGGCTTGACATGCACAAGGCAAAGTGCTGGGTCCTGTGCTTGGGTCACAGCACAGCAGCCCTATGCAGTGCTACTGGCTTGGAGAAAAGTTCATGTCAGAAAAAGATGAGGGGGTAGTGGCTGGCAGCCAGCTGAACATGACCCAGCAGCGTGTCTGGGTGGCCAAGAAGGCCAATGGCATCCTGGCTTGGATCAACAATAGTGTGGCCAGCAGGACCAGAGCAGTGATTATCCCTTTCTGCTTGGCACTGGCGAGGCCACACCTCGAGTGCTGTGTCCAGTTCTGGGCCCCATCACTACAACACACTGAAGTGCTGGAGCATGTCCAGAGAGCAGCAACAAAGCTGGGAAAGGGTCTGGAGCACAAGTCTTGTGAGAAGTGGCTGAGGGAGCTGCGGTTGCTTGGACTGGAGGAATGGAGATTCCACGTAGCTCACTACACCTACCTGAAAGGAGGCTGTAACCGTGTGGATGCCAGTCTCTTCTTCCAGATAACAAATGACAGGGCAAGAGGAAATGGCTTCAAGCTGCACCAGGGTAGGTTTAGGCTAGATATTAGGAAAAATGTCTTTGCTGAAAGGGTTGTCAAATATTGGAACAGACTGCTCAGGGAAGTAGTTGAATCACCATCTCTGGAGGTATTTAAAAGTTGTGTAGGTGTGATTCTTTGGGACATGGTTTAGTGGTGGGCTTGATAATCTTAAGGGTTGTTTTCCAAGATATACAATTCTATGATTTTATGATTCTATGATTTATGTCCAGAATGAAGCATTTCAGCATTGTGAAAGGAAAGAGTGAATTGAAATGTAAGCTTTTAGCTAAATCAATTTGTTTCAAAATGTATGTCCAAAGAAAAAAAATGTTTTTTAAGGGCAATTCAAAGCTTAAAACATATTCAAGGCATAAACATTTCCTAAATTATTGGGAAATTGGATTTTCTGAGAAAAAAATCTTTGCACATCTTTTATGTGGGAGCTTACAGAGCAGCAAACATGAAGATTCCCATTGTATTCTCACCTCTATTGGTGTCAGTCAAGTTCAAATCTGTTGAGCTTAAGGGATTTAAACTGATATAGAACTTGTTTGAGTACAGAAACAGCCTGAAAGCTTAGTACTATGACAATCTAAGTGATCCACACTACATTGAAACTGAAAGCAAGTCCATGTTTCCAATAGTAAGGCACAAATATTGCAAGGCAAACAGTTACAAATAGGCAACACTAATTAAGTTGTTAAATTTACAGAGAAAATGCAACTAACTCTCTTTCAAGGGGGTTAGGTTGTATGGTCTTCATTAGTTGTAATACACGCAGTCAGAACTAATAAACAAGCAAAGAAACAAACAAATAATTTATCATTGCCATGACTATTTTTTGTGTCATGGCAATCCTCCCTCCCCCTCAGTTGTTTATTCCCTAATTGTTGCTGGCTTTTACCTTCTGCATGATGTTCACAGCTTAACAAAAATTGCCTGCCTAGGTTTATTTCCCTGATGAAATGCATAAGTACAAGTAACACAAGTTTAGGACAATATTGGTACACAATATTTAAATGCCCTCAATGCCCACTTTTGTGCCTAAATATACATGATGTTGTTCTGTTACAGTGGCATCTGTTTTTCTTCTTTGGTGTGGTTCACAAAATTTGTAGCATGGTGTTCGCTCAGTATCAGAAGATACACAGCTTAGATAGAATTCTTCTTGTTTGGAGGAAATCTCATTTTAATATTGAATTAATGTCTTGCACCTTCCTTTTATTGCTTTCCATTTCTGTCCACCTTTTTTTTTTTTACCTGCTCCTTCACTATTTGTTTCTTTTGATGCTTTGTGGGTGTTTTATTTATGTAAAATTTAATCTTAGAGTCTCTGGTTTTTATCTGACCTGGTTTGGTATGGTGGGCATAAAACTGGAAGATTTACATCTGTAGTTGTAGGTATGTGTCTGAGCTGAATAAAGTTTTTCTTAGTTTTCTTATTGAAAAAATAAGTTGGGTTTTCTTTAAACTGCCTCATACTTCCTGTGGTAAACTTTTGCTGTTGGGCCATGGGGAATGCTGGTGTTTTTGCTCCATTGACTACAACAAGAGGGCAGATATCTGTATGTTCCTTTGTTGCCCCCAGCAAGGAAATCTTTCTAGGAAGGGTTTCTTTTGGGGTAGCTTGTTGCAGCCTGGGGAAAGGTGACAATGGGGGAGAGTCAACCATGAGGAGATTAGCACCATCTTTATCAAGTTGCCTCTGTATTGGGATGTGAATATTGTCATACACCACCTTCAGGAGGTCTTTAAACCTCATGTCCTGATGAGGCAAAGGACTTCTGGTAATAATTCTGTTTCCCACCAGAGACCGTGGAGGTACTTTGCTTGTACTTGGCATTGCTTGAACTTTTGAAAAGGGAGATTGCTTATTTGCTGGTGTGGATGGGAATTTCTCATGAAGACATGGTTTTCTGGTCTCTGTCAAGTCTTCAAAACCATTCTGATTGTTCTGAGAGTCCAAAAGTGGCTGAAAAATGGGCTCACATGGCATACTTTTTCTTGGTGATTTAGGAGGCCCACAGCAGACCAACTCTCTGCCTGCAAACTTGGAAACTAAATAGAATATAGAACAAATCAGATCAGCTTCTGCTGGAATGGTATTTGCAAAAAAACAACATATTATTATCAAATCAGCTTCATCCCACAATAAAGTCAGTATTTGTAGAGGCATAAATAAAAGTAAATTTTAACACAGAATGCAATTGTGATCTGATGATTTCAGGCAGATGGTGATTTCAGGCAATTGTCAGTTTTTTGGTTGGGTGAACAGTCTGAAATGAGCCTCTCTGCATAAAGTTGTCTGGATTAATTTTATTGAGAACAATAAAATCAAAGAATCATAGAATACTTTGGGTTGGAAGGAACCTTAATGATCTTATTCCAATCCCCATTCACCATTGTGTAGATCAGGTTTCTCAGAGCTCCATCCTATGTAGCCTTGAATACTTCTAGGATTGGAACGTCCAGAGCTTCTCTGGGCAACAAATGCATAAATGCTTCTGGGGATATTTATCACATCATTTGAAACATAGCACATATCTGAATAGTCATGAGGGTACAATAACTGGAGCAGAAATAAATTCAGATATGGAGTTTGATTATCCAGTACTAGGCATCTTCTATATTTTTGAGACTGTGGAAAATTATCTCATGAATATGAATACAACCGGTCCTTGAGCATAGTGAAGTTGTGACACTTGCACCATGCTCATGTTCATCCTGGAAATGTAAATAAATGCTCTTTTTTACTTATAAATATCTGTTCTTGGCAGTGGCTTAGAGTCACTGTCTCAGGGTTACTCAATAGAGGAAATAACCTACACGTGGACATGGAACAGTTATTTGTGGTTTGTATCTGCAGAGTATGCACTGGATCAGGTGTTCATCTGCTAATTACTTCACCTGATCAAAATTAAAATGATCACCAGATTTGGGCCTGAGAAACAATTGATCAAAATACTCGCAATTTCAGAACGAAATGCGAAGATATTTCTATAGCATTTTCAGGAATTGTGTTCCTTTTTTTCCTCAGACAGATATGTTTTACCCTTTTGAACTAACATGCTGAGGCTTATTTCAGAACAGTACCTTTTGACAAGTTTTCTTGGTTTTCCAATGCAATTGTGATCTCATCTTCTTGAACAGCATTTGGCACTGCCAGGGTTAGTACAGTAGGAAATGCCCTATTGCCATAATTTCTGAGGTTTTCCAGAGTGTCCACTTCAGCCTTCTGGGAAATCTTAGTTTCTGACTCCTTATTCAGCTGTTTATCAGGATCAATACTGTGTTTTTCTGCTTCATGTTCCCTCTGTAAAATGATCAGACACCATTTGATTTGAAGGGAACAAAAAACTTTAAAAGAAATCACACTATATGGTGTAATAGGAAATCTTGTCTTCACACAAGGCTTAGTTACACACATCAGTATTTAACCTGAACAGACCCTATGGCAGAGGTTCTTCCTGAAACCCTGCTGTACATGGGCTGGCAGACCCTTCTCTTTACCACGCAGGCTGTAGGGAGAAAGTTTTAATGAAAATCCATTGGATACCAGAATGCCATCTTTGGAAAGACCATGGCACTTCCTTTGAAGCTTATGACTCACAGAGTCTCCCAAGATGTGTAAGGAAGGTCAAGGTACCACAGAGCTCATGCTGCAGAGCAGAAACATCGCAGAATGCTGGCTGCCACTCCCTGATCCTGAAGGAAGATTGTCATGGGCAAGTTGCCATTTGCTGTGAGGGCAAATAGTCAGCACAAGACTAGAACACATCTGGGGAGGTTTTGCAGTGGAATTGCAGCAGGAAGACCTCCATGGAGCTGTGGTAACAGGACCGTTCATCCCAAAAAGAACATGAGCTTCACAACTCACTCCTTGCTGCAGTACCACTTCCCTCACTCCTACAAGCATCTTTTATGCACAAGGGATAAGTTCTCATATGGAGGTCCCTTGCTTATCCTATGATCCAAATTTTCAGAGTCCTCATGCACACTGAGTTTCAGTTACCAAAAGCTTGTGAAAATGCAAGGGCTATTAAATATAATGTTAGATTTTAAATTTATATATTTTTTCACAAGGAGAGCACTTCACAAGCATAGCAAAGAATAGAGGAAAGAAATCCCTTCCTACAAAACCAAGTCCTGTGGTGAGCTGACTGCTTTGTGTGCTGCTTCGTTCATGGAACATCTCCCTTCAGGTCTGGCACCCCTGAAAAAGAAATTTCTGAAATGTATTTTCTGAAACCAAGACAACTACCACGTGGATATTCCAGTCCAATACCAAGCTTTTTTTGCTGCTCTCCATATCATCTTTGACATACTCACTTCATTGTTGCATGGCTACTACTTCAAGGATTATCTCTAGTGACTTGAATTTTTTGCAGCCACCCCCACATAATACAAACTTCTTGCTTCCAGAATCAGAGAGGTAATTAAGTTTACTATTGTGCGCTTATCTTTTTAACTGTTTTCTTCTAATCTTTGTGTTGCAAAGTGCTCCCCTTATGAAAAACATGTTTTTAATCTATGTAATTTTTAAAAGTGAGTGTAATTTGTGGAGAAAAGACACTTTTGATAGGTTGAATGTATTTTGTGAGTTAGCAAAAATGTTTAGAAAAATTTGAAGGGCCCCAAACCTCAAGTTTGTGGGAACACCCCATCCTTCCTATGTACTTGTATTACCTGATCAAAATTAGGGAAATTATTTTAAGAGTATTTATAAAAAGAAATAAAATATATTTAAGTTGACAACATATTGCTAAAACCACACTAGATCAATTGGGAATTTGAGATGTCATAAGTATTTTAGGCTATGCAGTCAAATAGTCTCCCAGGATTTTACACACTGCTAGTTAAGAAAACAAATTTTCATCTTACATTTTGCAAGCTGTCACCTTATATACAGTATATCAGAAAACTTGCCATGACTGGTTTTACTGCCAGACCTCTTAAGAGCTAATTGGTTAAGCACCTGGGCAGGAAGCTTTTTGGCAGAAATGCTATTTTCTGCAAGGACTAGCTATAAAGTTCTGGATGGCAAATTGTAATCATTAAGGCTCCCTCTTCCACAGCAGAACACATAAAATGTAAATACATTGCTTGGAGAAACTATGATGCATAAAAGGACAGGCTGTGTTTTAAGTTTATCCAATGACTTATGGCTCAAATTTGAACATGGAAAGGATCTTATGCTTTTTTAAGGGTAAAGCTTTCAACAGACTTTTCTAATTGCAGCCAGAAAAATGAGAATCACATCTGTTTGCATCCAACAAAACTATTATTTGCATGTTCAGCTGCTAACTTCTGTATACAAGGAAATGGTGCAAATACAATGACTCATACTGGTTTTTCAAATGCAGGGGGTTTGCACATGAAAAGTAATTTCCACTAACTTTTTTCAGTTTTAGATTAGAATTTCTTCTGAAAATTTTTCCCCAGGAAATTGTATGTTTCTTGGTATTGTGTAAAAAAGCAGGGCATATTCTGCTGCCTGGAATGGGTTGAATGTACTGTTTTGTGAATATGCATTTGAATTCCAAACAATGTCTAGGCTGATTGTGTTGGTAGAATATTTTATTGCTTTTTATTCATAGGCATTATCATGAATGCAATTACTTTTCTGTTTGTGTTGATATTTGATATGCTTTGTTCTTTTTTGACAGAATATTCAGGGGAGCCAGGAACCAACTTTTTCTACTAGTCACTTGGAGGAGAAGAGGTTTCTAACGTGCTCAAAAATACTGGAGTATTTTTTTTACTATAAAATTGTTCTTCTATAGATATTTTCTTCCTGTAAATATCCCTTTTTATAGGCAGACAGAAATATGCAATAATCTTTATGGTCCTAGAAAGAAATAGTGTAAATAAATGGCAACTAGTTTTCAGGTTTCTTCGTTTTACCTGTTACTTGTTACAGGTAACAACTTACTTGTCTGTTTCCATAATTTAGATTTTATTTATATGCAGATTCTAATTTTTTTAAAAAATTTTGTACACACAAGCTGTCTTGTTGAGCTCAGTGAAACTATCCATATCCTTAAAGTTAAAGCAGATGCATACTTTGCAAGACCTGGAGAGCTGAAAGGAAATAATGTGATTTAAAGATGGATCACACACTGCTAGTAATAAATAGCAAATAGTTGGCTTTATACAGAATATAGAGAACATCTATCTATGCATTTAGAAATATCCTTGGCATAATTTATAACACAAATATCAAATACTCATGCTGTTGTAATTAAGCTCTAGTAACATCAGGATCTCAAAAAGAAGATGAATAAAAAGTGGGAAATTTCCCCCTTGCATTCAGTTGACAATCTTTACTCTTCCTCAGTTTCAGCTCTCTGTGGCTGGGTGGTCAAAGAAGTGCATTGCAGCCTGCCAAAGAGGTGGTTGAATTTGGTCTCTTTTAGATCAAAGCAGAGAATCCTCCCCACAAGATAATCCCCTGCCAGCTGCCTCTTTCGAGAGCTGTGCCAGTGCAGCATGGGCCAGTCTCCAGGGAAGCTGGGGGCTGCTCTTGGCTTTGCCTCTGCCCAAAAACGTCATGCCACCCGTGTAGGGCTCCGCCTTGGGATCCAAGAGATGCATTCTTTCTTTTCCCTATATACTTTGCGTATGCTTAGGGCTAAGTTTTGCCATTGTGCAAGTATGTGCATAAAGTAGCTTTAGCTGAAGAACAGGCCAGAGGACACTGGAAAAATATGAGCATTGATTGAGTAAGAATGCCCAGCTTGATTTCTTAGCCAGCCTTCCTCTCTCTCTTCCCTGTTTTTGCACAAATTCCAGCCTTGCTGGGAAATACGAATATTATTGAATGTTGGAGAAACTGGTATAAAGTGGTAGCACTGATAGCCATAGTTTAAAAGAGCTCCTGAGGAGGTCTGATTGCACAGGTTAATTATCCAAAAAGCTTGAATAAGAAACAATCAAGAGATCATTATTATCTGCAAAAAGTTGCAAAGCCTAAAACTAGAAAGGGAGAAATATTAGTTTTCATAATAGAGAAGAAGGCAAGAGGGAATAGAGGGACAAAAATAAGAAAAAAGTTAGGTAGAGTGATTATCTATGGAAAAAACAGTGAGTTTACCAAAGTCTTAGATAACAGAATGATCTCTAAACTGTGCTAGTAGCAAGCTTTTTGTTCATGACTTTACAAACTTTGTGCTGATGGAAAAAGGAAAACAAACCTTTAACAACATGAAAAGATGGTATAAATGGGTCTGTTCTAATTTCCTAATTTGTATGTCTTAGTAACAGATATTGGAAGGTATTATTTGTGGCAGAATCCACTCTGCCAAATTTAGACATTTATCTTGTGCCTGTATTTGAAGTTCTCAGCAAAGATGCCCTACTAAAAGTGAGTCATTTCCCTGTGCAACCATCAAAGGGAGATTCTGTCTGCAAATTTAAGAACTCCCCGCACTGATCATGTGAAAATTTGCACACCGGCGTGATTCTGTGGTGCAAAAGAAAGCTCTACACACCTGGGAGCTGTGGGGAAGGGGTAGAAACGGGGAGTTGTGCTATGACACAGTTTAATAGACCCCAGGGTGCTTATCCAGTTTACAAGCTTAGATGTGCCCCTGCTGAGTTTAGTCCAGCAAGGGAAGTGCAAAGTCCTGCTCTTGGGGAAGAGCAACCCCAGGCACCAGCACACGCTGGGCCACCGGGCTGGAAAGCAGCTGGAGGTCCTGGTCAACACCAAGCTGGCCACGAGTCAGCAATGTGGCCCTGCTGCAGAGAAGGCTGGTGGCATCCTGGGCGGCAATAGGAGCTGCCAGTGCTGCCAGCAGGTTGAGGGAGGTGATTCTGCCCCTCTGCTCAGCAGTGATGAGGCCACACCTGGAGTGCTACATCTGGTTCTGTGCCCCTCAGTTGGAGAGACATGGACATACTGTAGAGAGTTCTGGGCCACAGAGATGATTGAGAGACTGAAGCACACACAGGAGTTTCCCTCTGAACATCAAGAAAGTAGTTTTTCACTGTGAGGGTGACCGAGCACTGCCACAAGTAGCCCAGGGATGCTGGTGTTCATCCTTGGAGACAATAAAAAGCTGTCCAGATATGGTTCTGGGCAACCATCTGTAGGTGGCTCTGCTTGAGCAGTGGGGTTAGATCAGATGGCTCCCAGAGATCCCGCCCAACCTCAGCCTGTCTGTGATGCTGTGATTTTGTGAAAGTCATTATCGTTTTAAGCTGGAAGCTGGTCAGATTATTTTGCATCAGTACTGGTTTGGTTTCAAACTGGAAATTGTCGAGGAGAGGAGAGGAGAGGAGAGGAGAGGAGAGGAGAGGAGAGGAGAGGAGAGGAGAGGAGAGGAGAGGAGAGGAGAGGAGAGGAGAGGAGAGGAGAGGAGAGGAGAGGAGAGGAGAGGAGAGGAGAGGAGAGGAGAGGAGAGGAGAGGAGAGGAGAGGAGAGGAGAGGAGAGGAGAGGAGAGGAGAGGAGAGGAGAGGAGAGGAGAGGAGAGGAGAGGAGAGGAGAGGAGAGGAGAGGAGAGGAGAGGAGAGGAGAGGAGAGGAGAGGAGAGGAGAGGAGAGGAGAGGAGAGGAGAGGAGAGGAGAGGAGAGGAGAGGAGAGGAGAGGAGAGGAGAGGAGAGGAGAGGAGAGGAGAGGAGAGGAGAGGAGAGGAGAGGAGAGGAGATGTCATTCATTTCCTCATTAAATTTCCCCTCTTTTCCTCCTTGCTCTACCAACGGTTTCATTCTGCCTGGGTGCAGATGTATTTACTAGGACTTCAAAACAATATTTTTTAGTGTTATTAACTTACAATCAGAGCTAATTTAAGGGTCTGTGCTTGAATCCAGGTTGAGTCTCTGCCTTAAGAAGGCATTTTGGATGTCAGGAGTGGCAGGAAGTATCACAGACCCTTAATCAGCTTGGAACTTTATGTAACCGATCACTTCCCTCTTCCACCCGGGTAAGATGCTGAAAGAGGTCATGCATGACATGAAACACTGCCACTTGCCTGGAAGGCTAGATCTCTGCTGGCTGTAAATCAGCTTGATATCCAGAGGTATTAGAAATCTGGTCAATAGCCTTCACAATATGGGTCTTTTTGAGTGACTTATGTGTTAGCAGATCCTACTTAAAATCGTAATATGAAAAAATTCGCATATGTGAAGAAAAGCCTCCTCTCCCTAAGCATGCACACACACACTCTCCAACTCATATTTTTGAGTTATGGCTCTGTCTGCAGACACTGCACAGACTGTTGTGACCTTGGGGCTGTGTGCTGGCATGGAGATCTGGATCTGCTCAAGCTCATCTGAATAATTTCTAGAGGAGTCAACTGGACCTTCTCAAAATACAGCTTCTCCAGGGTGAAGGCTTTGAATGGGAGGCTAATCGCTAATGTGTGTGTTTTTGTAGCTGAAACTTTTCCCATTGCACTTGTGTGTTAGAAGCTGGAATTTGGCTTCCTGTCTGCCTAGTTTCTGCCTGAAGCAAAATTTTTATGGCTGAGCTGTGAACCCCTTAGTGGAGACGGTTGTAAAAGAAAAGCTTACAGCCTTTTTGACTAATTGTGGCCTTACCAATGATTACCATAATTTTTTGAATTTATTTTTAAAATGTTTATCCTCTCTGATCTCACTCCATGTTCCTGAGTGAGGTGGAGCTGAAGTGTGAGAATAAGGTACAGGGGTAAAAAATATGAAAAAAAAAGATGCTTGGAAAAGATTTTACAACTTTCACAGCTTCCCACTCACCTCCCCAGACTTTGGATTAAACCCTCACAGACCAGTCGGAAAGGAAAGGGATGGAGAGGTCACTGAGATGCTAATGCTCCTTTTCCCAGTGGAAAAGTAATTTTATATGTAAAACAAAATAAGTCTCAATCCCATTACAACCAGCAGCTCATTAAAAAAATTAATTAGTCATAAAAAAGATATATTTATCTCTGGGAATAAAAAAATATCTCATAAATTAATCACCTCTGAGAATGCCAGAATGTAGGTTTCTTGAAACTGCACTTGGATCTTCAATTTCATAGCTATTTTTTAATGCATCTTTCCCATTCCTTGGATGCACACCTTTTTCATGTGTGCTGCATAACTGCTGCATTGTTCCTTATAAAAATCCAGGGAGCACTTTATGCTTCTTATGACAGTAATATCTTACCTGAGCTCTTTTGCAGTCTTTCTGGTACCTGAGCAGTTTCTTCAGCAATAAGCAATAAGAAGACATGGCAGGAGAGGGTCTGTTATTTATTAAACTGTTGACAACTTCTGAAAGACTGAACTCCATAACGTCTGTCATGTAGTTTAAAACTACAGGATTCAATCCACTGAGGCAAAATCTAAAATATTAGGAAAAAGTATTTTAATACAAATGATGCGACCAGGTACAATAGCAGAATTTACAGTAAGCAGACAGTACACTTCTTGTGGTGCAGCTGGAGTTGGCTAAATTGCTTTTATAGGCAAATTATGATGCACAGTTGTGCAATAATCTTCTTGTCTGGCTATGCTAACTTCACTGCTGGGCTGAGGCTCTGTTACTGCATCATTAAACATCCTATTGTTGATATAATTGATTACTCTGAAAGGACACCCACCAGGATTAAGCCTGAAAATCAAAATATGGAAAACAGCATTTTCTCATTTTAATCAAGTGTGTGTATTTCAATTCTCAGTACAGTTGCCTCAAATGGATTAAAAGGGAGATTGTGTGCATGTATGTAAGAAGACAGAAAAGTAGCAAGGGCAGGAAAACTTGGGAAGACAAAAGAGAATGAAAGAAAGTACGGTAGGATTCTAATTTTTATATAAATCGGATTGTGAAATAAAGCATGTTTTGTTATAAGGATAATTGTTTTACTCATGGGCTTCTGTGAGTAGTAAAGTCTAAATCATCCTTA